AAACCTTTGTACATTTTATCTAAAGATTGTCAAGTAAGAACAGAATGGATTATATTACAATATGGTCTTGTTTATTGCCTTTTCCATGAGTTCTAAATTTATCAACGTTAAAAAGGGCTGAATCCTCACTAGATATTTTGCTCAACGTTTTCTCATGCATTACAGTATCTATGATCAAAGGTTGATGTAAGACAACCTGACACAGTCAGATTACTGCGAAATAATTATTTGCCACCTTTAGTTTCGAATTTTTATTAAATGAAGCATCCGGTCTATTCAAAAATCTACCTCTGAAAGGGAACGATATGGAAAATTTCTATTATCTTTCCGGTGGTCCTTATCAAATTAATCGATCTTGGATTTAAATTATATAACGATATTGTTTTCCACCTCTTTGAGCATCGGTTAAAAAGAATTGTCAAAATTTTAGAAGAATCGTTTAGAGAAATCACAAAACCTGGGGAAAAGTTTTTAAATGAATATTTAAATCTAAGATACTCAGGGGAATAGGAATTTAATCCTCATATTGTAACTGATCTATTCGAATAGGTTTTTACCAAGTTTTTTTTTTTTTTTTGAATTCTTTGATATAAAAAAAATATACAAGTGAATCTCGATATAAAAAAGGTGGCCAGGTTCATAGTAAAAATTTTACCGAACTTTCTTATATCAAGAGTTTATTAATAACTTTCTTATATCGAGTGGATTTTACTATAGACAGGTTTTGGCTTGACTTTCTTATATCGAGAGTTTAATTAGTCTTTCTTATATCAAGAGTTATTCATTTAAGAATTTTAACTTGTTCTAATCTTACATCGCCTGCTAAAAACGATACTAAAATTATTGGAATTTTACTTTATATTGCACCAAAAGTTTTATCAGGTCAACCATCTACACAAGCAAGAGATATCTATTCATTTGGTGTAATTATGTGGGAAATCTTAACGGGAAAAGAAGGTTTTAATGATTATGAATTTAATGAAAATTTAGCAATAAAGATTTGTTTGGATTGCGACCGGAATTCGCACTCGGGCTCCAGAATGTTACGTTGAATTGGCTAAAAAGTGTATGGACTCAGAACCAAAAAAACGACATATCTTAATGCGTTAATTACTACTTGTATCGACGAACTTACGCATGAAAAATCAATTCTTAGAAGCTGATGAGCAATTCTTAAAGGCTGATAAGATGGATAAAAAATTACAAGTATCATGCAAAAACATCAAATTATAATAAGTACATTTCAAAAGCCCATTAACATGCAAAAGATCATGAAAGCATTATCAAAAATGGTAATTAGCAGCATTCTGATGGATATCGTGGAAATTCCAGAAGAATGAAGACATTACAATAAAATCAATAAAAAAAAGAACTAAGTCAGAAGAATTATGTGATATTTATATTTATATTGATAATTTG